GGGTTTCTTTGCATTTTTTCAGAAATTCGCCATCTTGGCCACATGGTGGGTTAAGGGTTTGGCCCCATCTGACCCTTAACCTTCCACCAAGCTTACTACTCCCTCCATCCATCTATTCTAAGGTGCCTTGCTAACAAGTTGCTCTTTTCACAGGCCCTGGTAACTGAGGCCCAACTATCTGATGTGCTTTGTTAGCAAAGACGTCTAAACATTGTTGTCAAAATTTTAGGTTTTCAGTTTTGTTTTTTTTGTTTTGTGTTATGTATTCAGGTACTGACTACGTGACTCTAAAATATTGGGCCTATCTGTGCTAAAATTCTCATCACATCTAACAAGTTTTGTCATTTCAGAATATTTGTTGGTCAATTCTTGATAAGAACCAGGTAAACTCTACTTATTCTATTTGATCTCCTTGTTGCTTTAATTGGAAATAATAAAGGGCTTTTGTGGCAAAGATTGCAGTTCAAAGCCAACTCGGGCTGAAAAATCCCTAAGACTCCATCTCCCAACTAACCTGCAAAGAGCCAGGCTGGAAGTGTGGCACTTTTCTCTAACCAGCAAACACTGCAAGTAGTACTATAACTCAAAGTGGTTCAGTGCTAGCCTTGAGCAGAAGTGCTCAGGGACAATGCCCAGGCCTTGAGTTCAAACCTCCTTGAATACCAACTGGGACAAGCCATCCCAGCAACGAGCACCTAGACTCAGCCAGTCTGGGGAACAAGGGATCATGGAAAGGAGTAAGAGGAGATGATGTCACATCAGCTACTTTGTGCTTGCCCTTTCAAAATTAACCAGAGCTGGGAGGTCAATAGAAGTAAGAAGCCTGCCCATCCAATGCCTATACCTGTCTACCTATTAACTGAACAGGAATTTATATTCTTGCCTTTGTCACCTCTACCTAGTCGCCAGATGTCAGAAGTAGCTAGGGACATTTCTACCAACATTTTCAGCCCCAAGTCCTTCCTCTTGCCATTTATTTGCTCTCTAGTATTTTTTTCCAGCCCCTCAATGCTCATGAGACTTCTCCAGACTTCATCCAAGGACTCATGTTACCAAGGGACAGCTGCTGCTCACTGCCTTCTCTGGGAGGGGACCAACTTCCAGCCTTTTACCCCTATTGTTGACGCCCCTTGTCAGCAGAGTTGCCAGAGAGAATCCGCGCCCTATTTTATGATTATTAAAAGGCTGGAATGTAAGGTCCGCTCCTGGATGGCGAGCAGACTCCACCCTCCTCTCAGCAAAGTCTCCACCCAGTACCTGCGTTACCTAGGCACCTGGGACATCTGCATCCGCTGAGGTCACATCTGCATTTGTGGCCACACCTTTCTCCACCCATACCTTAGATAAGGCCTAGCCCAGGCCCTGACGCCCTCTCTGCTCTTTTCTAGCTTTCTCAGCTCTTTTCTTCTCTTCTCTTTCCCAGCTCTCTCTTTCCCAGGCCTTTCCCCACCGCATGGAGGACCAAGATAGCCTGGTGCCAGCTGGAATGATGAATAAACCTACCGCTTACCTGAAAAAAAAAATGTACCAAACAGAATTTACTTCCCACCTATTTCTCCTATGTACCTATTCTGGTTATTGGTACCATATTCTAAAACCTGGAAGTAATCTCTTCTATTTTCCCCCTTTCTAATCCTTTATCAATCACCAAGTCCCATTCTATTTTAAAGGGAAAAACTCATGACTTTATCTCCACTTTCAATGTTTTTGTTTTGGTTCAACTGTACATATTTGAGATTACTCTATCCTCTAATAGTTCTCCCTTATCTCCAATCTGGCTCTTTCTTCAATCATTCCTCAATAACACTTTCTAGAATACGGTTTGAAATATGTCCACTACTGCTTACAAATCTTTTGATGAGTCAAAACAAAACCTTAAAAAATATTTAGCAGAGTATCTTTTCCTGCCATCTCTTTAACTTTAACTCTTTCAATTTTTTCATATAAGACACTAACTTCCAAACATATTATTGCAGTTCTTAGAAAAGTCATACTGTTTCTTACCTCAATGCTAGGCCTAGGTTATTCTCTTTCTAGAAAACAATTTTCTTGACCTAGCAACAGGGTCAAGCTCAGTTATTCTTCCTCCATTCCTCCTTGCTTCCACAGCTTATTGTCTATTCTACTCTATTAAACCTGGAACCGTATGAAAATAAAATATATTTACTACTTATTTTGAGTCCCACAATGCCTACCACATTACCTGGCAATATTAAGTGACCAATACTTTTTATAGACTGCTAAGACTTTTCCTTTTTTTTCCCTAGAGATAAAATTCCCATTTATAAACTTCCAGAGACATAGAGCAAGACAATATTTAGGAAAGCATGATAGGAACCAAGTGATATAAATAAATATATATGAAAAGTGATAACTAAACATGTGGCTCTCTTCAAAGCAGCTGAGAGCTCAGTGCTGTTTGTACATGTTTTAGTTGCTGTTTAATCTTTTAATATTTATTCTTAGGTCCTAAAAAAAAACCCAAAGTGGTAAGCACAGAGACAAATCAAAAGCATTATATAAATCATCTATTTTTCAAAACTGAGTTTAGTCACAACTGGAAAAATGCCATGGATCCCAATCTATCCAACCCAATCTGACTTCTCACAGTTGCCTCCTAAGATTTGGGAGTAAGTTTATATTGGGCATTTTATTATCCTGTTATCATTCTCATGAACAGATTCCCAGCATCACATGCTGAGCTTGTATTTTATTCTGTTACAGCAAGAAATTTTATAATTTCAAAGTTTACCCTCTATGCATTACCTCCTGTATTCTTTTTATTCAGTGTTACTCATACCCAATTTGTCCATTGGTAGAAAACAAATTAATAAATCTACTCCAGTCCATAATTAGCTTTACAAGACAAGAAAGATTCCTAGTGACAAAACTGCATAGACTAGGGGAAAAACAAGTCGTTTAAATAAGGATACAGGTGGACCTGTTGCAACAATGAGAAGTACAAGATGTCATGTCAAAAACAAACTTTACAACTTGGGGGGGGAGGGTTGGATGGGGGGGGAGGGAGGATGGGAAGGGAAGGGTAAACAAAGGAGGAGGCTACAATGCTTGATAAGAAATGTACTCACTATCTTGCCCATGTAATTGTAACCTCTGTACAGTATTTTCACAATAAAAAACTGCATAGACTAGTTAAAACTCCAATGGTGTTACTCTTGATAACCCACTCGAACCATAAGCTAGTAATATTCAGATAACATGCCAGCTTTATGGTCAACATATAATTCCAAGCCATATCTGGTAGTATGAAATACAATATAATCTAACATTAGATGTTTTTAAGAATATGTTGAAGGGTGTCCCTCTCCAGTGATAAAACTGACCCAGCCAAGTTTTTATTCTCTCTAAGTCATTAGCATTTCTCTACCTCTACTCTTTGGGAAAGATCACCAACATTTCTTTATTTTCTTTTTTTTTTCCCGGCCGTGAGGCTTGACCTCTGGGCGTGGACACTGTTTCTCAGCTCTTCAGCTAAAGGCTAGCACTATACCAGTTGAGCCACAGCTCCACTTCTGGCTTTTTCTGCTTATGAGGTGCTGAGGAATCCAACCCAGGGCCTCATGCGTGCAAGGCAAGCACTCTACCACTGAACCACCTTCCCAGACCTCCCTAAGACCCCCTTTTTTTTTTTTTTTTGGTCAGTCATGGGATTTGAACTCTGGGCCTGTGCACTGTCCCTTAGCTCTTCAGCTCAAGAATAGTGCTCTACCACTTGAGCCATTGCACCACTTCCGTTTTTCTGAGTGGTTTATTGGACATCAGAGTCTCACAGACTTTCCTGGTTGGGCTGGCTTTGAACCTGGATCCTCAGATCTCAGTCTCCTGAGTATCTAGGATTATAGGTGTGAGCCACAGGCACCTGGCTCCCAAGACTTTTTAAAGAAGCAGGTCTGAAGTTATCACTAAGTATCATTATTCCAACAATACTGTGAAATATGTGAAATTTATGTAATTGCCTAATCTCAATTAAAAAGAAAAGTGAGAAGGGATGGTTTAGGAGCCATGGGTGACAATGTGGTCAGACACCTTGTATTCATATACTGTTTTGTAGAATGGGAACTTCTTTGTACAACTACTTAAAAGATAATAATTTAGAAAATGTTAAAAACAAAAAAAAGAAAGAAAGAAAAGAAGCAGGTCTGGTCATCTCTGTAATCATCATCAACTACTACAACCAACAACATCCTCCTATCTATGGAGTCACTTCTCACTGGGATCACGGGTACATGCCAACCCTGGTCTGGAACCCTGATCTTCCCAATCTCTGCCTCCAGAGTAAGCCAGCTACTCCAGCCTTTACAACACCTGAAAATACTCTAATCTGGACTCCATTCATCTCTTGAAATTTACCAATCAGATTTCCCATGCCCTAGAATTTTTCTTCCTAACCCTCCACTCAAAAATTTAAGTGTAAAGTATCCAATCCCTAATGTTCCTGCCTGTTTAAAATTTAGTCCAAAAGTGCAGGGGATAAAACAAAATAACCATGACTCCTGAGCCTAGAGAAACACCTTTTACCAGGGATTTCCTCCCTCGTTCACGTAAGTCAACAGTCTTCTTATGTTAGCTTATTCCTGTATCTGTGAAATGAGGAAGTTTTACGAAAGTCCTAAGATTTAAAAACCAAAAGCCATGGAAACAAAGCTAAGTCTGGAAACCTAAGTTGAGAGAAAGCAACAGAGTGAACAGAGGAGCCGTTAATTTGGGGATCTAGTTAATTTGGGGGGCCTCCGGGCATCCGCAGGATGGCGAGGAAGCGACTGGATCTGCACCCGCCAAGGAAGGAACCCAGGGGCGGGGGAGAAAGAACAGTGCGTGTAGGGCGGGTGGGGATGTCCTTTTTAAAGTGTAGTTTCAAGAGCCGGAATGGACCAGACTGCTTCGTTCCAACAAACAGGCGGCGGCGGGAGCTCCGAGAGGGCCGGAGACAGCCCCGAGCCCCCCCAGGACTGCAGCAAAGAAGAGGGGGCGCCACTTGCCTCCCATTCCTGCATGAAACGCCTGGCCTCGTCGGCACCAACGGTCTTATGCCTCCTAAATTCATCCTTCACATACTGGTCACCCAGGGCTTTGAGGTCCGGGGGAAGAGCCCGGTGCAGCTGCAAGATGCGTCTATACAAGGACCGGACGCGTAACACATGCTGCCCCGGCATGGCGCCTGGAGCACGCGCACTCGCGCCTGGGACAGCCCACTGCGCCTGCGCAAAGGGTCAGCCCCTCGCCGGCGTTCCACTGAGAAGTCGCCGAAGGGTGAACCGGAAGACGGAAAGAAAAAGGGCTGGTGACCTTCATCCGGTTTGGTCCGTCCTCCAATCAGGTCCTTCCGGAAACCCGAACTTTGCTTCGGATGGAAATCCGACGGGTCCTTTTCTGGTGCAGACGTGGCCTTTACCGAATCGGGAATTCTTTCCGGGCCGTGTCCGGTGGAGGGGCTTCGGAGGACGCCGTGCGTACCAGTTTGTCCCCTCTCATGCCATCGTCTTTCCATTCACCGTGGTCTCCGTTCCTTTGAAAGGCCTGAGAATAACCGTCCACATTATGGTCCTCCGAAAAGACCTTCTAGGGTTTAACCCAAGCACCTTGAGGCATCTGGAACATTCCTGAATTTTGTGTGTGAGCCCTGAGGACGGGATTAATGTCTTCCCCCAGCAGCCCATTCCCTGTACACAGGTCTGTGATCCAGTGTGTGCCCTGGACGCGCGAGCTTTGCCCTGGACCCAGCACCAGGGAGCCACGAATCAAAGGCTTTGTAAAGTCAAGTGGCATATGGGAAAAAATACTGCCAGGCATTTGAAATGAGTCCCGGGACACGATCCTAGAGACTCCAATAGTGTGGAGTGAAAATAGGGAATCCAGATGTTCACATCTGTGTACTGGAGATTGAACCCAGGGCCTTGCACATGCTAAGCAAACACCCCCTTACCACTGAGGTATGCCCCGACACACACACACGCATATATATATACGTATATATATATGCGTGTGTGTGCAAAAAATAATTTATATATAATTTTGATATATATATATCTTAGATATAATACATATGTATACACACACACTCACATATATATATACATATATATGTATATATATATATATGTGTGTGTGTGTGTGTATATATATATATATATATTACACCCTGCTGCTGTCTTTTCTTGGGGGTTGGCTCAAATTTGACCCTCCAGCCCCTAGCTTCTAAATATCGGGAATAACAAGCATGGGTACCATGGCTATATAAAGTTCTACCTTTCACAAAAGTAATACTGAAAGTGTTTTTCCAAAAATCTTTGTCCTTATCGTTTTTCTCCCATCACATGTTTAGTCTTTCAGTAAACACTAAAGCCTCCATCAATGTACTGGATGCAGAATGCATCCATTTTTCAGTTCACACTCTACCATAATTCCTTTCTCTCTCCTTTCTCCTCCCCTCTCTTCCTCTTCTGTCTCTCTGTCTTCACCCTCACCCAGATATTGTAACAGCTTCCTTATATGTGTTCCAAGATCTGACTTGGCCATGATCGAACTAAATTGTAAATCAGTTAATATCACTCATCTGTTCAACAAAATCCTTCCATAATCTTCATGTTAATGTTCTAACTTGTCACCTGGTTTTCTACCTAACCAGTCCCAGTCACACTAACCTTCTAGCTCTTAGTTCATCTTTTAAAAGGCTAGGCACACTCAGAACTGCCATCTACTTGGAATGTTTTGCCACAGGTATCTCTTACCTAACACCTTTATTTCACTCAGCTCATTACCTTTCCTACCAGGCCTATTTGAAATCCTACTTGAAATGGCCACATGACCAAACTAAAAACTACCTACTGTTGCTCCTCTGCTCCCCTCACCCAAATTAATATAGTATTACTTAATTACTCTCTGTTTCTCCCTACAGATTTCACAGGCCAATTATTTTATTTTATTTTAAAGATGCTGTACAGAGGGGTTACAGTTACATGACTAAGGTAATGAGTACATTCTTGTCGAACATTGTTACCCCCTCCTTTGATTTTCACCTACTATCCTTTCCCTCCCCTACCTCCCCTTCCACCCCCCAAGTTGTAAAGATCATTTCCAATATAGTGTCTTGTGAGTATCCTTGTTGCAATGGGTCATTCTGTGTCCTTGTTTCAGTATTTTGTTATTCCCCTTCCCCTTCCCAATAAACGTATATACAAGATGCAGGGTTCCAAAATCAAATACAGTGACAACAGGAGATATACTATAGGGAGAAGAACATATAAAGGAAACAAAAAAAAATCACATAGTACATTAAAAACAAGAACGAATAAGAAGAACCTCTTGTGTCCATATCTTGGGGTTCATTTCACTTAGCATTATCTTTTTTTTTTTTTGTCAGTCGTGGGGCTTGAACTCTGGGCCTGAGCACTGTCCCTCAGCTCTTCAGCTCAAGGCTAGCGTTCTACCACTTGAGCTACAGCACCACATCCAGTTTTCTGGTGGTTTATTGGAGATAAGAGTTTCACGGACTTTCCTGCCCGGCCTGGCTTTGAACTGCAATCCTCAGATCTCAGCCTCCTGAGTAGCTAGGATTACTGGAATGAGCCCCGCCGGTGCCCAGCTTTAGCATTATCTTATATGTACATAGCTTTTGTACATATGTACATAGCTTTTGAGCTTTTCTGTGCATCAATAAGATTATCCTAGTTATTGCAAATAAGGAAAACCATGGGACCTATATTTCTTTGAGTCTGGCTAATTTCACGTAATATGATTTTTTCCCCAAGTCTTTCCATCTCCTAACAAATGGGGCAGTGTCATTCTTTCTAATGGAAGCATAGGATTCCATTGTATGTATGTATGTATATACATATATACATATCTATCACATTTTCTTGATCCATTCATCTACTGAGGGGCATCTGGGTTGGTTCCATATCTTAGCTATGGTGAATAATGCTGCTGCGATAAACATAGTTGTGCTATCAGCTTTAATATGGCCTTGTTTGTGATCATTTTGATACATGCCCAGAAATGGGATTGCCAGGTCGAAGGGGAGCTCTATGTATAGTCTTTTGAGGAACCTCCATACTGCTTTCCAGAATGGTTGAAGATACTGCACCAACAGTGCAGTAGTGTTCATATTTGGCCACATCCCCTCCAGCAACTGTTGTTATTAGATTTCTTGTTTATAACCATTCTAACTTGGGTGAGGTGAAATAATGTTGTTTTGATTTCCATTTCTTTTTTTTTCTTTTCTTTTCCATTTCTTTTATGGCATCCACAACATTTTTGTGGATTCTTTTCAGTAATTTATCAATGACATAATCTTATTAAAAACATACTTGTTGAATTAATGTGTGAAATTCATTAATAGTGTCAAGATCTTAGATTTGCCAGCCACCAAAGGAGTGTGAGGACCTATGTGATCCTTCATATATCCCAGACTTCTGTCCATTCAGACTTTTGGAAATGCAGAAATGACATATAGCCTCACAAAAACTAAGTCATAATCTCTTTCAGGGCCCACCATAGTTCCTTACAAACAGTAAGGGATATTTATTGCTTTGAATGCCATTTTTCCATTTGCTTAAATTTAAAGAAAATATTTGCTTAAAAGAACAGTGAGGGTCTGGGAAGGTAGAGTGCTTGACTTGCATGCATGAGGCCCTGGGTTCGATTCCTCAGCACCACATAAGCAAAAAGAAAAAAAGCCTGAAGTGGCGCTATGGCTCAAGTGGCAGAGCACTAGCCTTGAGCTGAAGAGCTGAGGGACAGCGCCCAGGCCCAGAGTTCAGGCCCCACGACCGGACCAAAAAAAAAAAAAAAAAAACAGTGAATTTTTGTTTTTTTAATAGATTTAATTTAGTATTGTGACAAACCACATTAATGGTAAAGATTGAAGGACAGTGTGGTTTTATTTCAGCAAATTTTTGAACCATATTTCATTTGCTAATATCCCTATGAACTGAAAATTAATTTCTTGCTCCAGTTTACTTTTTACTGATTTCCTTTGGGGTTAAAATATAGGTATTACAAATAACTCCTTTCAGAGCCAAATCTCTCATAAATTGTAGAATTCCATACTGCTAATAGATTAATAAAAATAATGAAAGAATTAGTTCAGGCTAAAAGGAACAGAAAATCATAAAAATTGAGAAATCAAGACTAAAAATAAAATAGGTAGGTCAGAAAGAAGACATAATGGAGTGGTTAGAATTTGAAAAAATGAATCAAGCAATAAAATTGAAGACAATGATAGAGGAATTGCATAGTTTTAAATGATAGGCTGGACAGTGAGCTATGGTCAAAATAGCCATGAAGGGGAAATAAGATCTGAATTAGTTTCCTGGCTACTAATTAAAAATAATACATTGATGCAGGCCTTTTTATCATCCTTCATATGCTTCTTTGTGAGTGTGTGTGTGTGTGTGTGTGTATGTGAGCCAAAGAGAGAGAGAGAATGGAGAGAGACAGAACTATCAAGTCTTTAAAGACTTTAAAGCCCTTCTGTGCCTGTATTTTCTCACTTATCAAATGATCTGGATTTTACAGCTTTATGAGTCAGTCTTTTACAGCTTTATTAACATAACTAAGCAAAGCATTGAGCTTGCCTAGAATAATTACCAAAAATATAATATACACATGTATTCAAAAAGAAAATCATCATGGTATTTGTACCACCGAACAATAGCTTGCTAAATAACACACAAATAAGAGAAGTACATAGATGAAGAATGAAGAAAAGGCCTGCATGGAGGGTGCCAAACAGTTAGTAGTTAGGAATTCAAGTCAGATTTTATTTTCAATTCATGGCTCTTTTGATCATAAAAGAAAAAGTAAACTGATACTGAAAGTGCTTGTGTTTGGACTATCTCCCACACAAATAGGGATAAAAGAGGATGGAAAAATAAGGTAAAAGAAGTAACTAAACAAAAGTGTTTCATAGAGTCTCAGCTCAAAAGGGGTAGAAACAAGGAAAACTGAGCCACAAGAAGGAGAAAGCGAAGCCTGAATGTGTTAACAAACAGCTAGCTGGAGTCCTTTGCTCTACCTAGAAAGAGAGTAGGCAAGAAGTTTCCTCAGTGTTCTTAGTCCCAGACCCTTGTAAGCCCTTGGTCTACAGTCAGACCTAGATGCTTACAGCTCCAAACAGAGAGAACTAGGTGCCTAGATATAGTTCTAGGCTTTTAACCTTGCCTTAGGCTTTAACCCT